TGGCTTGAACAAGTTAATACCCTAAATGGAAAAAAGTTCACTGAGAGACTGAAAATTGATTTTATTGTTCCACTTTCAGCTTTTGCACTGATCTTGATGAAAACGGAAACAAGCTGCATTACACAGCTATTTCAGTCATTCTCTCTACAAATAATTCTTAACTACCTATTATGTGACATGCACCATATAAGAAACTTATAATATGACAGAGAGCAAAAACCGCAGTTTGCCGTCCACTGTGCTAAACAAATGTCAGGGATTGTTAATAAATCACTTCGTCTCTTTTTGTACCTGTTTTCTTTTTTTTTTTTAATTAGGATAATTAACTACTCAATAATCACTTTGTGGCCTATAGTAAGGATTGTAAAATAACCTAATTTGCTTCAAGCCTATGAGTAGGATGATTTCTCCAAAACTTTAGAAGCACCTGAGAAGTGTTACAGAGAATGGAGAGCTTGGGATTGGAGGAAGTAACGTGATGAATGACATTTCCAGAAAGGAAAAAGCATTGGCTAGAGTAGTTTTAGGAATGACTAATGGCTCTGAAGAAATCTTCAGGGTAACCTCAGATAATTATGCCCCTGATTGCCATGCCCAGAGTCACAGTTCAGAAGGACTAGGCTCTATTACACAGATTTTGTATCATACACTTGAAATCTAAATGATCCTATTACCAATGTCACCCCAATAAATTTAATAAAATTTTTAAAAAATAATAAAAGAAAACCAGGCTCAGTATGTCCTTCTCCTCTAGTGTGAAGATAAATAAGTACTAAGAATAATGACAGTAAGTGAAGTAAAAAGAATATATTGCAGTTACAAATGCTAAAATTTTTTTAATGGACTTAACTATTATTGGGTGTTATTTTCTTTGATAAATGATTGCATTATGGGAGGATATGATTTAACCATAAATTTTAGTCAGTTGTAGCTTTAGATTTGTTTCAAACTATATACTTAATTGAAAATAGTCCATCAACATTTGGTTAAAATATTTTTAATTACTTGAAAGTAGTTTGTTCTTATTTACATTTGTATTTGTAAGTGAAAATTATGATATGTAGGGTAAATGCAACATTAAGAAAGCATCAATAAAAGGAATGAAAGAGGGATGGAGAGAGAAAAAAATAATAAAGAAAAAAAAGCAAGAGAAAGGGAAGGGAAGACAGTAAGAAAACGAAAAGAACTTATGCCTTTGGACTTTCCAAAGCAAATACCTGTCTTTAGATTCTTCCTCTGCACCGTGAGTACAAAGGCAACAGAAAGAAAGCCACTTACAAATTTAATTCAAAACATAGGGGGAAATGCCCTAACTACAGAAAAAGACAAACATAAGTTGCTTTGGCAAAAAGACTACATGCTTACTGTGATTGTAGTGTGTGTGTGTGTGTGTGTGTGTGTGTGTGTGTGTAGGAAATTCCTGTTCTTTTTCTCACCTTTTAAATAATTAGTTTCTTTTCTTTTTTTCTCTTTTCTTGCCCAAGGTAACAGAAAGATAGAAATGAATTTCTCTATACAAATTCATCAGCAATGATTGATTCCTAGAATTATAAAGTTTACTGAGTCATTAACTGTTGATACATGCATTTTATCAACTTTCTATATCACTCAAAGATGGAATCTTTCTTTAGAGCGACATAAATCTGGTGACAGTTATAGGAAGCTCAGGTTCAGTCTCTAGATTATCTGGAAACTCATTCAGACTCCCAAAGCTCCTATCCACAGTATTTCACACATCATATCTTTCTTCAACTTTAAAGAATACAAACCCAAATAATATTTAAACAATACAAAGCCATTGTTATAATGGATATCAATTTGGGTTTTAAAAAATAAACAAACAGGTAATCTTGATAGTAAGATGAAAAAGGCATTCACGGTAATCAAAACATTCATGAAAGTGACTGCAGAACTTCTTGGCTAAACTCTAAATGACGTCTGATTCTACTTAATCTTATTGTACAAACTGCACCTGGCAGTCATGAGCAATTAGCACTTTATAAATAAAGGTTTCTTTTCTGACCAACTCAGTTGGGACTCTCTAGTTTCCAGCACAGCAATCTACAGCAGTCAGAAGGCCGTGAGAAGCCTCTGAAGAGAAAAAAAAAATGTGGCAGCAGAGCCTCGAATATTACGGATAAAAATCAAACTGGGCTGCTATCAATGTTCAAGAGTATATTCTTTTTTAATGAATATCTGTAAGCCATGATAAGATCCCAAAGTTTGGCCAACTTTTATTCTAATTTACAGGTATTTCCCCACATATCAATGGGACCTAATTCAAAAGTTCATTTAAAGACCCATTATTTTCTACCAAGATGACCTTTTTCATGACAAAGCCTATAGTTCGAGCTCTCTCTGAGTTAACTCTATTTCAGCAGGCTAGCCTAGAAATTTAACCTAATACATATTATTTTTCTATGGAGAAATGTATTATGGACCTCAACTTGAGATGTCAGAAATACATCTCTTTCGCTTATTGATTCTGTGCCCAACCAGACAGGAACTCTGCCTCTTTCCTGGTCTATTTAAACACATCCAACACCCCATTACTTTGTTAAACCATAATGTTGGTTCCTGTCAATTCCCAGGCCCACTCCCATCTTACTCTAAAACAGCTTCTCTTTTCTTTTTCCCTAACTCCTGAATCCCTGACAATTTGAGAACTGTTTATTCCTAAAGTCCCCACTTTTGGCAATATGTTTACATGTCTCTCTGGATTTCCTGACTCAGCTCTGGACTCAACACATTCTTCAGAATTTGGGAAGACATCACAGGTATAAGTAAAAGTCTCTCTCCACTAACTAACTCTCAGACTCCAACTACTAACTGGGCTGATCCCTGACATCCTCCCAAATATGTAAAATCAAATTTCAAGGGTTCTGGAAGGGAAGGGGCTTGGGATGAGGAGAGAGGTAGCAAGTAGGGCTACTATTTATTTGTTTTGTTAACCTTCACCTGAGGATATTTTTTCTATTGCTTTTCAGAGAGAGTGGGTGGGAGGGAGAGAGTGGATGGAAGGGAGGGATGGAGGGAGGGAAGGTGAGAGAGGGTGACTGATTTGTCTTGAGAGAGACACATGGACTGGTTGTCTCTCACACGTGCCCTGATAGGGGGTAGGGAGCAAACCCACAAGCCCAAGTATGTGTCCTTGCCCAGGAATCGAACTTGTGACCTTTTGGTGCACACGTCAATGCTCTAGCCACTTAGAAACACCATCCAGGGCTAGGGCTACTGTTTAGAATGTAGAATGTACTGATTTAGATAGAACACAAACTAGAGAAAAGGAGGAGGCAGTGGGATGGAGGGATGGGAATAAGGGAGCAGATGGAGGATGGGAATAAGGGAGCAGCACTGTCACTGATGTCCTCCAGTGGTTGCCTTTCCTCCTCCTCTATCCTTCCCAGTTTCCTCTGGGAGGAACACCCCTTACCCTATATAATAAAAGCCTAATATGCTAAGTGCCCGACCATTCGTTCGACCATTTGATCAGGTGCTATGATGTGCACTGACCACCAGGGGGCCAAAACTCTGATCGGTAGGTTAGCTTGCTGCTGGGGTCTGGCTGATCGGGACTGGGTGAGATGGGCCTGACATGCCCTGGAGCCTTCCCATGGTCTGTCCCTGGCTCTGATCGTGCACCGGTGGGGTCCCTCAGCCTGGCCTGTGCCCTCTCACAATCCGGGACCTCTCGGGGAATATTGGAGAGCTGGTTCCAGCCTGATCCCCACAGTCAGGCCGAGGGACCCCACCGGTGCATGAATCTGTGCACCAGGCCTCTAGTCTGGTATAAATTCCCAGGGACAGGATCAATGTGCTGGCTGCCTACTGTTGCCTCAGACCAAAGTTTCTGTCCACCCCACCAAATTGTAGAATTCTATCACTGGAATAAGCATCAGTTGTTCTTAAGTTTTCTATGGTTTGCTACTGCTAGTCATGATGGGAAACTAGAGGGTAAACGCTACTAAAAAAAGATTAAGTTTTAAGAAGTCTCACATTCATCATTCTCCTGATATTCAATGACATATAAATTAAACCGGGCTCTGGACTTTCTCAAGCTTTCCTAATTGCTTCCTCACCAGGACCCTCAGATTCTATTTATTCCAAGTTACTCCAATCTTTTTTTGAGTTTTCTATTTTCCAGGGAGCCATGGGTCTGGGAGTTATACAGTCAGACCTCTGAGGTGGCCTTTCAGCCTACCATTTTCATCACAAAAAAACAGGAACGCCAGTGTGCTTTTTCTGCTGCTGTCCCCTGACTCTGCTACTTTACTAAATGATTTGGGGGAAGAGTTACATAATCTCTTAAAGCCCCATGCTCTTCTTTAAAAAGAGAACAGTGGTTCTCTTACTTACAGAATTATTATGAGGACCCGTGAGACACTATGCACAACACCTGGCACATGGTAAGCTTCCAAACAAACAATGACAATTACTATGGTCCCCATCACCCTTCCTGTTACCATGGTACACCCAGGCCCCACTGGTAAAGATGCAAGGTGAGAGATAGGAAACCAGAGCTGAGGAGCGAGCCACGTTTCCCTGACCACACCTCTTACTGCTTACCTACCCACACATTAAAGGTAGAATAAGGAAGCAAGAAATAGAGAAAGTAAGCTAGGTTTTATATGACTCTAAGGTGGAATCAGGAAGTTAGGAAAATCTTAGAAATAGGAAAATGAGAAGGATGTTTTGTTGGCTTTTTATTAAAAATGAAAATAGCACTTATCATAATGTACAAAATAATATACAGCCTATCTAAATATTCTTGTTTCAAATCCAAGAGAAAGTCATTATAAGTACCAAGATAATATTTATAACCAAAAAATGTCTTTCCAATCCTATTTTTTTCACATTCCTAATTATATCTCCTATTTAAAACACTGCATTTAGTTAACCCTTAGTTCATAATGGCAAGCCACGGGACTGAAATGTTCCATATAAATGGACGTTTTACTCATTCTATTAAAAAAAACATACAATGCAATGTAATTTCATACCTTACATACATAGCTCCTCTAACATTCACATGCAGCACACATCTCTCCAGGCAAGATCCTTTTGTGCATTACTCTCTTTCTCATTAGCCCTGAAATAATATCAGCCAGATCTATTTTCCCTTGTTTTCCAGCTTGAGTAGCAGAGGTAATAAACTAATAAATGAAGCTAGCACACAATTTTCCCTCTTATTGAATCAAGCTTCCTTCAATTAGCTGTTTATAAAGTTGCTTACTGCTAATCTCTCACATGTTTTTATCCCCTAACAATAGGCATGCTGTTTCCCAACTTGGAAAATTAACATTAACATCCACATTGACTGGGCAGTTGTCGATGGCAGTCATTTTCCAGGCGGCCAACTTAAGGCCATGCACAGAGCTGCCTTTGTTGTGAGAAAAAAGATTTCTCTGAAGTTTATGGTGATGTTGAAGCTGTTTTGTACAACCCACTGCTCCTGGCTCAAATACATGCAAATCACAGCAAATGTTCTGTGAAGAGTAGTCTAGAGAGCACTGAAAAGATGGTTAATCTAATCAAAGAGGTAACAGACTTGATAGTTTCTTCTTCTGAGTTCTAAATTTTAACATATGAAATTTGAAAATTTTACCAAAAATTCCAAAGGAAAGCAATTCATTTTCAAACCCATGTTCTTTTCTTCCCCTCTGAATTATTGTGAAAAGAAATCAAGTAGCTTCTCTTTGACATTTGTTAATTATACTTTTCTAAAATCAACTTGGCAGTATTCACTTGGCAAAATGTAACATCCCAAGGCAAGTAAATTTAGTTCTAGATAAAAGAAACAGTATTTACATACTGTGTTTGTCCAAGTTAAAGAAAGCATATAATGATTATTTGATAACACTCCTTCCAAAAAGGTAGCATTAAGTTTTCTTTTAAGAAGAGGAATGGTAGATCGAAAGCATAAATGATTTTCAAGAAAATTACGATAAAGAGTTGTAGTTCATACTTACCTGGCAGGAGAGATACCATGATCATAAAGAGTTGTAGTTCAAGAAATCACTGGCAGCTTAGCTTAGCTGCCCCAGAAAACCCTCTCCTTTGCAATAAATTAAGGCAATGGAAAGCTATCCAACTCCAGGAACAAGATACAGACAGCCTGTATCTAATCAGCATGAACAGGCACAGTTTAAAAGCCAAGTAAATTGAATTGTCAGTAACTATTTTTCAAATCTTCAATCACTGGATGCTAAAAGCTTATTTCTTCTCTTTGTCTCATCTTTCCGAGTACAGATATCTATCTCTCCTTTAACATCAGAAATTTGGTACAGAGTTCAGTAATCATTCATCCAAGTGTGCCAAGGTTCTGATTTCATTCCTTCTGGCATGTTGCCAAGGGGAGGAAAGGTAGATGGCTGGCAGTGGCTCTCTCAAGCATGGTAAGGTCAGTATAGTGATGGTGGCCACTGAAAACTGGCCCTTCTTTTGTGCATCCACTTGAGACTACAATGTTTGGAGTAGCACATAACAAGGATGAAATCATCCTTATGAAATGTGAGCTCTGGTACATCTCATTCTCAAATACCAAATTGCATTAGCAGGGTACAGCTTTCACAAATGTCTTCTTATGTTAAAGTACAAGAAACAGATCCAAGTATAGACTCAAACATCTTTATTCAAAATGCACTTGCTCTTTGGAATGCTTTCAAATAGCAATGAAATATGCACAATTAATTAATACCTTAATGGTTTTTTAAAATTGTTTTTACAACTTTCCCCAAGATTTTCTGGTGCCTAATGGCTGCCTTGTATATATCCTGCAGGATTTGTCTAATTTGGGAGAAGAGTATTTAAATAATGTAAAAAATCACAGAAATAGTATTCCATTAAAGGCTCCTAAAAATTTCCACTGGCAGCTCCCCAAATGTACTAATCTCTTTATGACAGAGCCTCAGGTACTATATTACTGCACTTTTAAGAGTTAAGGATTCTACTCAATCTGTTCAGTCTATTTACATTATTTTAGGTGCTTATCACATGTATGACAACCTCTTCCCTAGGAGTGAGTCATCAGCCTTCTATAATAACAAAACAATAGGATTCTGTTAAGTAATAGTAATTTATAATAAATAGGAATGTTAGTTTCCATTTCTAACCCACTTTTCACTACTTTAACTAGACAAAATATCCTTGATATTACTTATTATTTTTGTAATAAATATATTTTATAGTCTTGGTGAATGGTGGGTTGGGAATTAAAACTTTAAATGTTTTGCATTAATCTCTTCCCACTTGAAAATATTTTAAACACTTGAAACATTTGAAAAGTCTATATTAATTGGATAACTTGAGATCATAACTAAAAGTTCAGATGATTCACAGATTAGAGGGTATTTAAGCTAGAAGAGTCTGTTGATTAATTATAGAAACTAGATTAGTTTCCTGAGATTCTCCTTTAAATTCAAGGGAAAAATTGGTTGAGTCGTTGAACCTGAAACAGTCCAACTCCAGAAACAACAAGAGATCTGGGCAAATGCTACTAAAAAGACAGAGCAGTTTAATCTTTGTCCTGCTTAATCAGAGAAAGAACAATGAAGTATATATAATGACTTAGTGAAGAGGAAAAGAACAAAAGGATTAGGGAGACTTAGAAAAGTTTCTAAAACAAAACAAAAAGCACAGTATCTCTCCTCTCCATCCCTTCTTTATTTAAAATTAAGTGTCAAGGCAGTATAATATGCTAAATGCCAAATGAATAACTAGACCTATACTATCCAATATGGTAGCCACTAACCATGTGACTACTGAGCATTTGAACATTTTTTCTTTTTTTTTTAATCCTCGCCCAATGATATTTTTTTTCCATTGATTTTCAGAGAGAGTGGAAAAAAGAGGGAAAAACAGAAATATCAATGTGAAAAAAACACATCAATTGCTTGCCTTCTGCAAGCACCCTGACCAGGGAAGGAACCTGCAACCAAGGTACGTGTCCTTGACCAGAATCAAACCTGGGACCCTCTGGCCCGCAGACTTATTTATTTATGTATTTATGTATGTATTTATTTATTGTTTTTAATCCTCACCAGAGGATACTTTTTTGTTTCTTACTAATTTTAGAGAGAGGGGAAAGGAAGGAGGGAGGGAGGGAAAGAAGGAGGGAGGGAGGGAGGGAGGGAGGAAAGGGGGGGAGAGAGAGAGAGGAAGAGAAACATCAATGTATGAGAGAAACACTGATTGGTTGCCTCTTGTATGTGCCTCCACTTGGAATTGAACCTGCAACCTACTAGTAGATATGTATCCTGATCAGGAATCGAACTGACAATCTTTCTGTGCATGGGAAAATGCTCTAACCCAGCCACCCCAGCTAAGTGAATTATGCCTATTTAAAACAGTATGACATAGAATCAAGTCCTAGGTTATACATAAAAAAATTAAAGATTACTAGCAAAACACAAAATTATGTATTTCTTTCAAATCACATAAAAATGTAAAAGGGAATATATTTAACATTAGTAAGAAAACATAAAGACAGAAAATAGTAATAAAGCATTTTAAAATCTTCTAATTATACAGTAAATACATTTACCTATTAAAATCCCTTGATTTGATTTTTTTAAGTGTCTACAAGTGACACACTTAAAACAAATAGATTTAGAAAGCTTGAGAGGAAAAGGTAAAGATAAAAAGCAGGGGTTACATCAAAGTAGAACACAAGCCATAAAAACATTACATAAGAAAATAAGATGGTGTTTTTTTTTAAAAATCCACAACTCATACAACTTTATGTGCTAAATAGCTGTGCTAAAATATATATAAAATAAAAACTGTTAAATATGCAAAAATAATAAATATCACTGGTATTTTCAGTGGTTAGAGCATCGGCCAATGCGCCAAAGGGCTTCAGGTTCAATTCCCAGTCAAGGGCACATGCCTGGGTTGCAGGTTCACTCCCCAACTCCGGTCTGGACAAGTGTGGGAAGCAACCAATCCATGCATCTCTCTCACATCAATGTTTCTCTCTCTTCCCCCACCTCTCCTCCTCCCTCCCTCTCTCCCTTTCATTCTCTCTGAAAGCAATGGAAAAAATATTCTCAGGTGAGGATTCACAAACAAACCAAAAACTGGAAAAAAAGTAAAATTGTCATCATTCGCAGATGGCATAATATTGTACATAGAAAAACCTAAAGACTCCATCAAAAAACTACTAGACTTAATAAATGAATTCAGCAATGTAGCAGGATACAAAATTAACACCCAGAAGTTAATAATTTTGTATGGCTTTTTTATACACCAATAATGAACTCACAGAAAGAGAAACTAAAAAAAAAAAATCCCATTTACCATTGCAACAAAAAAATTAAGATACTTAGGAATAAATTTAACCAAGGAGGTAAAGGATCTGTACTCAGAAAGTTACAGGATGCTCATAAAAGAGATAGAGGGCCCTAACCAGTTTGGCTCAGTGGACAAAGCATCGGCCTGCGGACTAAAGGGTCCCAGGTTCGATTCCGGTCAAGGGTATGTACCTTGGTTGCAGGCACATCCCCAGTAGGGGGTGTGCAGGAGGCAGCTGGTCGATGTTTCTCTCTCATCAATGTTTCTAACTTTCTATCACTCTCCCTTCCTCTCTGTAAAAAAAAAAAAATATATATATATATATATATATATATATATATATATATATATACACACATATATATTTTAAAATAGAGGAAGAAATAAACAAATGGAAGAATATACCATGTTCATGGATTGGTAGAATCAACATTATTAAAATGTCCATACTACCCAAAGCAATCTACAAATGCAATCCCCATTAAAATATCAATGGCATACTTCAAAGACCTAGAACAAACTCTCCAAAAATTTATCTGGAATAAAAAAAGAGTCTGAATAGCTGTAGCAATCTTGAGAAAGAAGAACAAAGTTGGAGGGTTCACAATACCAGATATCAAACTATAGTACAAAGCCATTGTACTGGTTCTGGCACAAGAATAGGCATATAGACCAGTGCAACAGAACAGAGAACCCAGAAGTCAACACAAGCCATTTTGCTCAATTAATATTTGATAAAGGAGGCAAAAATATACAATGGAGTCAAGACAGTCTCTTCAATAAATGGTGTTGGGAACATTGGACAGATACATGCAAAAAAAATGAAACTAGACTACCAACTGACACCATACACAAAAATAAACTCAAAATGGATAAAGGACTTTAAACAATAAAAAATAAATAAATGGGATACATTTAAACAGAAAAAAAAGAAATGGCTATAAATTCAGAAGTATATAGGCAGACTTCTTTAGACATGCAATTATAGTTGACAAAAATATAAATGAGGTTAAATAAAAGTCATTTCATGTTAAATAATGTAGGACTTGTATAAATGATAAGAGTTTGGACTTAAAAGCAAAAGTAAAATGCTAAAAATTGTTTTTTTAAAAAAATATTCTTTTGTATAGTTATATGAAGAATGAGAGTGAAAGAACTGAAAACAGGAAGACAATCTTCCTGAATTAAAAAAAAAAAAAAAAAGAATGGCAATCAGAATTCCACTGCCCAGGGGTAATCCAATAATTAAATACATTTCTAGGAAATGACACCTTAAGAAGGCTGTTTTCTATCTGGATACACAGCTGTTTACTCTTTATAGTAAAAAGTGTTTTCATGTTAGTATTACTTTCGACACTGTAACAACTAGGAAGGGAGAGTGATATTTAGAAGATAACAAAACAGAAACTCTTGGAAGCAAGAAAGGAGCATGACTCAAGGAGGGAAATTCCTGTTGCCATTAAGGATTGCTAGTATATAAAATGCCCTCTCTATGCCAACTAAGAACTCCCTTCTATGTTCAGCTTTTCTACTCCCTCCAAGAAGAGATCAACTTTGAAGCAGCAGCAACAAACATGAATGTGAAGGGCATGGCTATAGTCTTGGCTGTGATATTCTGTGCTACAATTGCTCAAGGTATATGATACTTTTTATTTCTCAGCCTATAAATTTCTTTTCTAATTTTTCAAATGTTCTTTTCTTCCACTTTTATCCTAAAAGATACACTAAATTTTTACTTAACCTCACACATTAGAAATTATTACAGCTTTGACAGAGAATGTAAGAAATGTTTGAGGCATTAGAGATGATTATTGAAACTAGAGATGACAAATTTCACGAAATGTATTTGGCTACAAAATCTGACAAAAGCCTTTAGCAACAGTTTTTTTAAAAATATATATTTTATTGATTTTTTACAGAGAGGAAGGGAGAGGGATAGAGAGTTAGAAACATTGATGAGAGAGAAACATCGATCAGCTCCCTCCTGCACATCTCCCACTGGGGATGTGCCCGCAACCCAGACCGGAATTGAACCTGGGACCTTTCAGTCCGCAGGCCGAGGCTCTATCCACTGAGCCAAACCGGTTTCGGCAGCAATAGTTTTAAATGTCTGTTAAAAAGATTTTTGTAAAATAATGTTACTAGCATCCTGGAAAAATTCTTGAGCATAAAAGCAAAAGGCAAATAAGCTTGATCTCCAAGACTTCTTTTATGCTTTTATCTAGTCTTTAATGATTTGGTTACAAATTTAAAGAGAAAATCATTAAGATATTACTTAAGCTCCTTTCCTAGTAACAGCAGTGTCAAGTGCTATTTGACAAATGACCATCTTTATCCTTAATGAAAACTGGGCTCACATTCTTCACCAGAATTATAAACCATAGTCCTCTGTTGCAATCAGATCCATTAGTAACTGATGCTATGATCTGTTTTAGGTTTCCCAATGTTCAAAGGAGGACGCTGTCTCTGCATCGGCCCTGGAGCAAAGGCAGTGAAAGTGGCAGATATTGAGAAAATCTCTGTAATTTACCCAAGTAACAACTGTGACAAAGTAGAAGTGATGTAAGTAATGGACTTGCTAAAGATGACAATGATGGAGGCATTTGGGTTTTGTTTTTTTTTGCTTATGCTTTTCCATTCAAAATTTAAGACTGTTTTGGATATTCCTTTAACAGTATCACCTTAAAAGCACATAAAGGACAAAGATGCCTAAATCCCAGATCAAAGCAAGCAAACATTATAATAAAGGTAGGTTACTAGATTACTTCCGTTTTATAATGTTTTATCCAAGACAGATCTCTTGAAAAAAAAATAAAGTAGACAACTTCAGAAAAGATTCTATGATCCTGTATGAAGTGTTTTGATAAGGGGTCTTTGGTTATAGTTAGTTTTCTTTTTTGCTGTATGTTTCTGCATGTCAACTATCACTGGGAAACAAGAACAGCCCAAATTTATAAAACTCTCATTTTCTAATTACAGAAAGTTGAAAGAAGGAATTTTTTAAAACATCAAAACATCTGAAGTCCTGGAAAAAAGGATATGAAAACTCAGAACAAGTTTAACTGTGACGATGAAATGTTAAGAATTCTGTAATAGGGAAATGACTTTCTGATGCCTATTGCAATGCGCATTCATGCACTTGTAGAATTTGTAAGTTTGGAACCTTCTAGAAGACTTGATGTTTATAACTATTCTGCTGTGATGATGAAAACATTTCTAAGTTATCTGTCTGTACTTGATCTACATTCCATATTACAATCTGCCGTTAAAATGGAGACATTAATATTATTACTAGAGTCAAGATCTTATGAGTCAAAAGCATCCATGTATGTAATAAACATCCCCCCCAAAATTTTTAATGCAAATCCACATTTCTTTTCCCAAAAATCATATAGCACATATATACCTAGGGAAAAAAGTTCTTACATGTCATCTTGTTTATAAAAAGGCAATAATTCATGAAATGTACTATGAAAAAAGTATATGCTAAGGAAAACTGGTAAGAATGGAAATATTTCATAACTGAATTAGCAGCTCTGGTCTTAATTTGATTTAAGCAACTTTTTCATTGATATGTTTTGAAACATTTAGGATATGTGGGTTTACTGTGCGTTTTGGTTGTATCTATTTTTATAAATTATAGCAACATTTTGGACACATTTTAAATATAAAATGTTTTTGTCTACCAAAGAAAATGTCGAAAAGAAATAAATATATATACATATCTGGCAATCACCTTTACTTTCTGTGGTTCTTTTTCTTAGGAAAATACATAATCTTACTTTTCTAAGTCATGCCTACACTATACAATTTAGGGATATCTAAGATAGTTTTACTTTAAAAAGAATCAAAACCATTTTTCTCTATTAAAGTACCACAACTTCATTTATATTGGTAGGTATAGGATAGTTAACAACTAACTAATACGGCACACAGAGATGGTATCTGGACAATAAAATAATGAGGGGTTCATGGCGGTCTTGTGCTCTGGTGGGAGATTGTGACCTGAGGAGTCTGGAAAAGAAGATTACTCTGACATTCCAACGGTAGGTTACCATAGCAGCAAAAGAACAACAGAGAGGCTCCATTAAGGTAAAGATTGTCAAGGAAGATTCAGTCCTAGGACATGACTTCCTACCATGACATACTTTTAGTTAGGAAGCTTTAATCTCTGAGCATTCTATGTGGTTTAGTTTAGGTCTCCAAGTCTGTAAGGCCCTCTATGCAGGCCTCCCCTGAGCTTGTCAGATTTAGTATGTGGCCCCTTTTTTGTCCACATTTTGTAAAACAGAGACATTCATTTGTCTTCCAAAAATATGATATGCCTTTAACAATTTCACCTTGTATTTAAAAAAGCATAAAGCTACCTGTCAACACACAGAATTTTTTAGAAATATATTTTAATAGGTAGTTGTGAAGGAAAAATTGTCTCTCTTTTTAAGGGGTCTTCCTAAGTCCAAACCCCCTTTTTACTTGGGGGCAAATCCCTTATTATGAGAATTCTGGTGAGAGACCAAAAAGGAGAAGCCAAAGGAAGGAGATCCTTCCCTTCTTGGCAGCCAGAACAAGATCTCAGCCAAGCCACACCTACCCTAGACTTTGAACTCCAGCTAGCACCTGTCAAATAAACTACCAGTAAGTAAATTATTTAAACTGGCAGTAGAAACAGTGTAAGTCCTAACACATGTTTGTGTGGCATGGCTGGGTAGTATTCCTTGCCACCAAGCTCCCTTAGGTTTTTGTCAATTTTCCAAGAATCAAGCCTGATTCTTCAGTCTTCCTTTGGATTCTTCAATTAAATTCCTTTTCTGCTGAAGCTAGCCAGAGTTGATTTCTCTATCATGTAACAAAAAACCTTAGCTAATACAGCATTCTTTATACAGACACCTATACATCTGAAAAATAAAAATATTTGTTACAGAATTACCAAAATAGGACATTTCTGTTTATCTGAAAAAAAAGGACAATTTTACAATATAGACCAATCTTGAAAACATTATACTAAGCAAAAAAGGCAATTACAAAAGACATATTTATGATTCCATTAAACAAACTGTCCAGAATAGGCAAACCTATAGAGACAGACAGTAGGTTAGTTATTGCCAAGGATAAGAGGTAACAAGAAGTGACTCTTAACAGATACGGGGGTTCTTTTGGAGGTGATAAAAATGTTCTAGCTTTGGCCAGGTGGTTCAGTTGGTTGGAGCATCGTCCCACCACCAAAAGGTTGCCAATTTAATTCCCAGTCAGGGTACATACCTAGGTTGTGGGTTGGATCCCCGATCAGGGTGCCTACAGGAGGCAATCGATCAATGTCTTTCTCTTTTATCAATGATTCTCTCTCGTGCTCTCTTTCTTTCTCCATCTCTCTCTAAAAATCAATAAAAACATAAGGTGAACATTAAAGAAAAATATTTAAAACTGATTGTGGTAAAGGCTGTACAACTCTTTCAATCTGCTGTACTAAAAACTATTGAATTGTATACCTTACACTGGTGAATTGTATAGTATATTAATTATATCTCAATAAAAAATTCAGAATGAAAAGAGAGAACAATTTTAATGTGTCCTTCCATTGATATCAAAGGGCCAACCATAAAGCTGATCAGAGAATTGACAAAAAAGTAAATAGCAAAGGAGGATGCCTAAAACCTAATATGCCTTCTTACTGACTGGCTTCTTGATGGGTGCCTACAAGCAATAATGAGAAGCCAAAATGTTACCCAGGAAATTTGTATATAAATCTATATAACCTATATCATATATTTATACTGTGATATATAATATAGGTATATATTATAAACATGATATATAATAGTATAAATTTATAATAAAAGTATAAATACATATTAAATATGTAGTATAAACATGTGACCCTATCTAATAAAGAGGTAATATGCAAATTGACCATCACTCCAACACACAAGATGGCCGCCCCCATGTGGACACAAGATGGCCAGCAGGGGAGGGCAGTTGGAGGGACCAGGCCAGCAGGGGAGGGCAGTTGGGGGGGGACCCAGGCCTGCAGGGGAGGGCAGTTGGGGGCGACCAGGCCTGCAGGGGAGGGGAGTTGGGGGGGACCCAGGCCTGCAGGGGAGGGCAGTTGGGGGGACCAGGCCTGCAGGGGAGGGCAGTTGGGGGCGACCAGGCCTGCAGGGGAGGGGACTTGGGGGGGACCCAGGCTTGCAGGGGAGGGTAGTTGGGGGCAACCAGGCCAACAGGAGAGGGCAGTGGAGGGGGTCAGGCCTGCAGGGGAGGGCAGTTAAGGACAATCAGACCAGCAGGAGAGGGCAGTTAGGAGTGACCAGGCCGGGAGGGGAGGACAGTTAGGGGCGACCATGCTGGCAGGGGAGGGCAGTTAGGGGTGACCAGGCCAGCAGGAGAGGGCAGTTAGGGGCAATTGGGCCAGCAGGGGAGCAGTTAGGCAACAATCAGGCTGGCAGGGGAGTGGTTAGGGGCAATGAGGCAGGCAGGCGAGCAGTTGGGTGACAGTGGTCCTGGATTGTGAGAGGGATCCCAGATTGGAGAGGGTGCAGGCTGGGCTAGGGGACACACACCCCCAGTGCATGAATTTCATGCACCGGGCCTCTATTATATCATAAATCTACATAAATTTCTATATAGAAACTAGAGGCCCGGTGCACAAAATTCATGCATGGGTGGGGTCCCTAGGCCTGGCCAGCAATTAGGGCCAATCTACGGGGTGACCAGTGGGGAGATCGGGGGTCCCCTGCTAGCACCCGCCTTAGCCCTCCTGGCACTGCCTGCTTGTCAGCCACATCCCCTGCTGCCACTGCCCACCTCTCTGTGGGGCGACCAGTGGGGTGGTCAGGGGGCCCCACTGGCAACCGCCTAGGCCAGCCTGGGGCCTGCAGGAAGGGGGCAGCTTCTGTATTCAGTGTCTAACCCCTGGTGGTCAGTGTGCATCATAGTGACCAGTTGTTCTGCTGGTCATTCCACCGTTCAGTCAATTTGCATATTAGGCTTTTATTATATAGGATGGGACTTCTATATAAGTTCCCAAGATAGTTTCAAGACTTGGATCTAATACTTGACTATTTACAGTGATTTTTAAGTGTATCTTTAAAAATAAAAATTCTTTGAGTTAGGGCTACATGATAAAATTTTTAAAGTAATATAGTATAGACCAGGGCATTATTATTGAGAAGACACCATATACTTAAATTTCTCCAGGCAAAATAAACATATTAAATAATTAACATAATACTTAAGCCATGATCCTTTTTACCTCAGTACTTTTGCACATTACTACTCCCTCTGTCCATTTCTTCACTAAGCTAATACCTACTAGTAACTTAGATCTCAGCTTAAATGATGTTTTTAACAAGAGGTTGTCTTTGAAACCATCCCTTAAAACTCAACTAAAATAGGTGTCCTATTTGTTTTCCTAACACTCTACTTTTCCATCACACTATTTCAGTTGTCACTAAAGAATTATGCCTGTGCTTAATCTATGCTCTCCCATAAGTATAAACTCAATAAGAAAACCACCGCAGTAGTTCTAGCCCACAGTACAGTGCCTAGCACATATCAGAACTTCAATAAATATTTGAAAATAGAATGACTAAATGGCAATATAAACTAAGGAGAAAGGAACTTACTTATAGCAATGGCATGAGAATGCACAATGTTAGGAAAGTATAAGGTTAGTTAAAAATAATAATTAGATTGGTTTGGTTGGAGTAAATAATGAAGGACATCAAATGTCTAGCTAAACAACCTTGAATTTTACTCTATCCAATGGGGATTAAATGTTCAAGAATAAGAGAATGACCCTATCCAAGTTATTATAAATTATTCTAATAATGGCATAGAAAGTTAATTGGAAATGGCAAAGACTGAGAAGGGATATGTTTCCATAGCTCAAGTCTCTATTTCCCAAACTTGAAGTCATTTTCATATCACCTTTACACATTTTTACCATATTTCTGATCAATCTTCATTATATTTTGCAAATTCTGTGTATCACTGTACTTTACATACATTTACATAAAAAGCAAACTTTTACTACTATCCATATGAAATCAGTTATCACTTGCTATAGAAATAAAATGTAACAATAAAGGAAATATAATGAAAAGTACTAAATTTCAGCTATGCCAAAGGTTTGAAGCAACAGGCCTGCTCTGTATTTGTTAAAAGGGAAATTAACATAGTGAGATGTCTGAAAGTCATACTAATACCAACTTGAGACTTTCCATGATTTAATCAGGACTGAATGTAAATAGAAAATAACTGATATTAAATGTTTTATCAGTGAGCCCCCTAGCATTGTCCCACACTCTGGGAAATACTGATCTGAAAAGTAGTAAGGGCAGTATGTTAAAAGAATTATGAAATGACCCAGCAATTCCACTCCTAGATAAATACAATCCCAAAGAATTGAAAACAGTTGTCCAAAAAAAATTTGTACACAAATGTTTATACAACACTATTCGCAACAGCCAAAAGGTAGAAACAACCAAATGCCCACCAATAAATGAATGGATAAAGAAAATGTGGTATATATACCAATGGAATATTATTCAGCCTTAAAAAGAAATGAGCCCTGGCCAGTGTGGCTCAGTTGATTGGAGCTCCATCCCGTATACCGAAAGATTATGGGTTCAATTCCTGGTCAGGGCACATACCTAGGTTGTTGGTTTGATCCCTAGTCAGGGCCTAACCAATCGATGTTTCTCTCTCTCTCTCTCTCTTCCCCTCTAAAATCA